ATTGTAAGAGTTGGAAAATTGCACATAAAGAGATTGCAGTGTTGAATAGTAATTGAATCTAGATTCAAATAAGCGACTTATAGCGACTGCTGCCCAATAACTGTTCTACCACATTTGAAATGTATTTCGGTCATTTCTTTTATTTTTTATTTTGTGTAATAAAACAACAAGTTTTACTGTCAATACATGTTTCCCAACTATGATTTATATTAAATTATAATATTATAAAATAGAATTTAATAATATAGCGTTATAATTTCAACTGAAAAAATAAGAAAGTAAGCCACACATTTGGAATTAATGTTAGGCCCTCTAACAAAATTATCTTCTTTTATATAGAATTGCCTTGATTATTCCCGCACGTGTTGTAAACATGTTTGTTGACTTGTAACATTTGTTTGGACAACGCCTAAAAGTAGGCAACACATTTCTCAAAACAAACTGCCTCACAGAAAATAACAACAGCAACAAAAAAAAAACACGTTACTTCAAACTCCAGGGCCAAAAAGTAATCTGAAAACAAGCCAAGCAGACACATTGCCGCACACAAATATACTATAGATGTAATTTTTTTTTTCTGTTCGAGTACTCGTATATCTAAATGTATATTTGTATGTCGCTGTGTGGCGTGGGCGTGTGGCTGTGTGTGTGGGTAAATGGTTGATGAGAAAATTCCAAAAATAAGCGCCGCAAATATCCTTGAATATGATACCAGGGGCAACAATAACAAATACATACAAATACAAATATGTGCAAATATCTATAAAAACACCTTCTATGACTACAACAACATCAACAACAACAACAATTACAATGACAATGACAACAACAGCTACCCTTTAATGGCAGACAGAGGTAAGTAAAGTACAGTTCAGTTTATTTAGACGCGCGCGTTCCAAATGCTGATAACGGTAAATAAGGTCAGAGCTAACGATTGCGTAACAGGCATTAAATGGGCGTCAATAAATTTGTGGCTGACTGACTGGGTGGTTCGGTGGCTCAGTGGCTCAGTAGCAGTTCAATGTGGAAAGTCAAAAACCAAACTACCCAATGAGCTCAATAGCAAATAGAAATCAAAATAGCTTGCAGCTCAGCTGAGGCTGGAACGGAACGTTTGTTGGGGAGGGGGATGGAGAGAGGGGCGAGGCGGATTAAATGATTGCTCGATGGTTAACTAACTGTAAGAATCGAAAGCAGGAATACTGATGAAAAGAATAGTCAGCAATTACGACAACAACAAGCTTCTTGACTCATTCAATACAGTAGAAAACATTTTGAACAAGCCAACTGAAAAGACTTTGATTTTGAAATAAAAACTCATTCAATTCCACCTATTCCTTATTTTCGATCTTTATTAATAAAGGCCTGAGTAAAATTAGAATGAAACGTTGCTTAAAAAAACAGTACATTTTAAGTCTACTAATAAATTGAAATGGGAAGTGAGAGAGATTTTTCGACCTCGAATCTGATATTCCTTACTCCTGTTTATTTGAAATTGTAATCTAATTCTACAATTTTTGATTTATCATTATAAAAAGGTATTACCTTATGGCAAAAATATTCGTTGAATATTGTATATATGTATATAAAATAAATGTGCTTTTTTATTTATTTATTATTTACATTTGATGACCAATGTTGACGAATTAGTCTATGTTTTCATCCAAGTATGTTATACTACTCGTACATATGTATGTCTATAAAATCGAGTTGGCATCCCTATGCAGGCAGAAGAGATAGAGAGAGAGAGAGAGAGATAGCAGTGCAGTCAATCGTTTACGCCATTTATAGATGCAACGATCAATCATAATCCAACTTACATAAATACCCCTTGTTTTTGTTGAACTGATTTTTTTAAACTTCTCTAATAATAGCAATATAGACAAACTCTCTAGCACCAATCGATGAACATATATATATTTAAATAGTTGAAAAGTTTATAATACGAATTTTGATTATCGAACTCTCAGGCTTTGTATTCGCGATGTGCATAAAAATGAAATATGATTGAGTGAAGGACTAATCTCTTTCCGGTCTAGACCACAAATGGATACACATATCTAAAAGTTTGCGCTGTGTCTTGCGGTGAAGAAGAAAACCCCCTTTCTAAAATTCTAAAACACAGATGGTTTATTTTTTAATGAGCCCACAAGGAGCTCCCATGAACGTTTAGGAATAACGATGGTAGTACGTAGAAAAGGATAGCATGGGAACTATCATACGCTTTTACGATTTTCAATAAATAAAGCAGCTAAAAATCAGCTTAAAGCAGTCGAGTTATGGACAGTGATGTAATTCTTTAACAAACTATGTCGCATTATCGGCTTCTCAGTTTCAATAACAACTATTCCCAATCATTTAGATTACGGTATTATCTCTAATTACAATTATGAAATCAAAAAATAGCTTCACATATAAATGAATAATTTAATTCCATTTATCGAGCGACCACTGCTGCTGCCTAGTGTCTACATTCGAGGCTCATTTGGGATAAAACATGGCGCACTTTCACTAATTGGCGGGCAGTCGAACTGTCACACACACACACACACACACACACACACACACACAACATAACAGAGGAAGCAGAGATTTTTGCTACCAATTTTGGCGCCGGCTCTATTTTGTTTTTTCTTTTTTTTTGGCCCACAAGTCGAGCAAGCGGCCGCTTTTTGGTGGGTGTGTTCGACTAATGCTGCTGCTGTTGCATGCGTTTAGCCGGCTCTGTAAGTGTGTGTGTGAGTGTGTGTGTGAGGGTGTCATGGTGAGGGTGTGTGCGTGTGTGCACAACTTGAATGAACTTGTCGAAGAGTGAGAGAAAAACCGACAGCTCTCTCTCTCTCTCTCTCTCTCTCTCGGCAACAGCTGTTATTTCCACTCACTCAAGAAAACCAGCAGCAGCAATGCTTGGCAACAATTTACCGTTATTTTGCGGCACACGCATGCGCTCTGAGTTGAATGCCTTTAAGAGAGAGCGCACCGCATGAATCGGTGACTAGCTGGCTAGCTTTATCCAGGCACACGAAAGCAGCCAGTAAGCTGGCTAGCAAGCTGCCCGCCAGCCTGTCCGCCAATTAACCCAAAATATCTCACAAAAGGCCAGCTACTCTGCAACTGGCGAAGCTACCTCAACACAAAAAAAAAAAACAACACGTAAATGCATAATAAGACTAATAGAAAACTAATAACTACTTTGCCTTAATAATTAAACAAAACAAAAAATTCTTTAAAGCAATTATGAAAGAATTGAAGTGTTCACAACTCTTTCATACTACACCATACAGGTCTGACAATTACTTGCATTACACTTTCCCTACATAATATAATAATCATTTAGGTACCAGTAGCGGCCAGTGCAATAGAAAAGGCAACTAAGAATCGCAGACATCCTTAAATCCATTTTAACATCATCGCATTTCCTTCATCGAATTCTTAGTTTATTCTTATGATAAGTTCCAGCAGATCAGCAAAAGATATACATACATATTCTTAATCCAACACATCCTTTTAATCTTTTTAATCAAACATCTTTCAATCACAAACCATAGAAGTAAATCACCTATCCTTTAAGTGCCTCTAAGGACAATTTTAGAAAATTTGCTTAATGTTTCTCAAGGTGTCAAATAAATTGTAGAATGTACCCACACCCACTGTTTGTATCTCTGTAAATATCTACTTAGTATGCTTCATTAGATTATAGTTGAGATAGAGCCTAGCTTATCTGCAATTTGAATTACTTTTAAGCCACAAATAAATAAAAACCCCATGAACAACATTTATAAATATTTTAAAGCTACTCTAAATAGTGAAGACTCACAGTGGGTTTTTGAATAAAACAGCAACAGCAAATGAAATTTTAGAAATAAATTTAAATATTTCTGAAGCAATCATAAAATTATTGAAAAAAAAAAAAATAATAAATCAATGCAACCAATTAATATAGTTTTTAAAATTAATATTTTAGAATAACTTTTTAAGCTAACTTTTCAACTTAATTTGAAGTATAAAACAATAGTAGAACAATATATAGAAATATAGAGAACAATAGTAGAAGTAGAAAACAAAAGTTAAAGATTAGTTATTCAGTAAAAAAAAAAAAAACAATTAACAGTTTTGCGATGCTGGCAGGAAAGTATTTATATATATATATATATATATATATATATATGTATGTATGTTTCTTCAAGAGTTAACTTAACTTGGTTTTAAAACGAACTTTTACTTCTTTTTTGAAAATTTGCGGAGATTTAAATATTTTTGAAAACTATTCACATAGATTTCCTTTATGTTTGTGTTATTATTTTATTATTTTCGTTGCTTACATGCGATTGAGTGTAAGTTTTTGAATGCAGATGTCGAAATACCGTTGCTAAATGTGCTTTATTCCACCCCCAATGCAGCTTATAAGGTTAAGCATAACACACCACACATTACGCATACGCACTGTGGGCGTTTTGGCACAGACGTTGCCCATTGATTTAAAGACGCTGACGCTGACGCCGACGCCGATGCCGACGTTGCTGCTGCTGTTGCTGACGTTGCCGCTTTCGTCACATGCTGCACAAGATTCACTTTGAAAGCGCGCCGTATTTGATTTGCCACTTAGCAGGGGGACCGCAACAAGCAACAACAACAGCATCAAGAACGCGAAAAACAAGCACGAGAATTTAAAAAAAAAAAAACACACACACAAACACACACACTTCAAAACGCCAGTCAGCAAATACTATTATTTCGTTCAACAATTTTGCGTGTGACAAAGCGAAGGCTCAGCAATACAGATATACATGGTAATTGGGAAAGAAAAAAAAAACGAGGAAAAAAATTGGCAAACACCAGAAAAAAAAGCCCACTCTGTTTATAATTGTAACGATATCTAATTATGTATGTATGTAGTATAAATACATACATACAAGTATATGTATGTATAGTGTTTGTTTGTTAAGTGTTTGGAGATGTTTACAGATTTCACAATTTGCTGTCTCTGCTGTCGCACTCACCATTGGCATGAATATGAATTGTGTTGTTTGGTAGGACATGCTGATACATGACTTGTTACAGTGCACCAATGTCGTCACTTTCATGTCACTTTAAACACTACAAGAGAATGAAAGCGGCCGCGTCTGGCTCTCAGTATTTATAAGGTGCCGGAATTCGATGTCGTCTCTGCCGCTGTCGCTGCTGTTAGGTGGTTGGTTTGCTGCTCTGCCTCTGCGTCTTCCCTTACACTGAGCAAAATTTCCCAGTTTTTTGTTTCTTTTTCACTTCTGCCTGTGCTTGGCTGCCGCCTCCTTGACGAGCTTTACGCTTTTCGCTTTTCGCTCTTCGCCCTTTGCCACTGAGAGCGCAACAGAAAATTGAGAGCAAACGCGTGTGGGTGTGTGTGTGTGTGCGAGTGTGTGTTTGGGGGCGACGCGTCGTGGGTCACGTCTGGCGCGTGACGTAGGTCGCACTGGCTGGAGAGCTTTCTCTAATCTACTCAATTTTCTCGTCCCAAGCACTCGATGATCGACTTTAGCCCAAAACTCTGCAATTTGATTTTGAAACGATGACGCCGCACTGTTAACAAACGGGTAGCTCGTAACGAACTGAATCGCAATCAGTGCACTCGACCAGCGAGACGTCGCTCGCCAAAGCAGTTCTAGATGGCAACAACAACGAAATGCAAGCATATGATATGCACTTGCCGCCGCCATCGAACGCACCCACACAGCTCTGTACACACACATACTTGTATGTATGTATGTATGCATGTACTCGTAAGTACGTGTATGCATGTACAGTCCATATCGGCTAAGCTGCCATTCGCTGCGATCCTCAATACCGATTGCATCATACTAGAAATCGAATAAAATTGAAATGTCAGCTTTGCTCAAAAAGTTGGCAAAAAAAACAAAATTCTAACTAAATTAAATTAAGCTGAATTAAATTAGAAATTAACATGTAATGATTAATAACTTAAAAGTAATCTTGTACTTGTAACGCTAGGATAAGTTAACAAAATAAAAATAAATAAGACGAAATAAATGTTTTGATCTCGAAAAAGTTGAAGTTTGCAACGCATTCGAATTCAAATTCAAATTCAGGCCCGAAGCGATGAGAAAAACTTTATTTTATTTATTTAATTATTTTGCTTTTTTGCCTAAAGCTGGCTTAATATAAAAAACCAGAGCTTAGAGTTATGAGATATCATCTGAGATATGAATAGGTACATATGTGTTTATGTTAAAAATAAAATTAATAATATGAAAATAACCTAATAATAATAAGCTCGATATAATTAAATTTGTAATGACTAGCGTAATAATAAAAGCAACCCGATACTTGTAACGCTAGTATAAGATTTGTAAATAAATAAATAAGTAAATAAGTAAATCTATAAATAAATAGATAAATAAATAAGTAAATAAATAAATAAGTAAATCTTTAAATAAACGGATAAATAAATAAATAATTAAATCAATAAATAAATAAATAAATGTATAAATAAATAATTAAATAAATAATTAAATTAATTAATTAATTAATAATATAAATAAATAAGTAAATCTATAAATAAATAAGTCAATAATTATATCAATAAATAAATAAATAAAAAAGTAAAAAAATAATTAAATAAATTAATTAATTAATAAAAAATAAATAAATAAGTAAATAAATAAAAAGTAAATAATAATAATTAAATCATATATAAAAAAATAAATGGATAAATAATTAAGTACATAAATAATTAAATAATCAAACAAATAAATTAATTAATAAAAAAATAAATAAATAAACAAAAAAAAACAAATTAAGAAATAAACAAATAAATATTTCAATAAATATAATAAATGTAGCCTAAAACTATTATTACAAATTTAAGGAAAAAATAGCAAAAAAAAACCTTAAATGTAATGGAAAAATTTTAACTAAGCTGGTACTTGAAGGACAACTAGTCAAGAAATTAGTTAATCTATTGTATTAATATTTGATTCTTCGTGCAGTCGTTTTATTGTATAATAAAAAGCTCTATTAATAATTATTTTTTATATTTTATTTTGGGTAAACGACACTTTATCTTTATAGTTATGAAGTCGATTAAATGCAATTTTCATTTGCATATGCACATAAATCATAAGAGAAGTAATCAATAAAAGTTTTTAATATACACTGGGGTCTGGCATAGCTCAACGATCTAACAGGAGTCCCATAATTTATTTAACTGTCGACATATGTAGGAGTACAATATACATATAAAAATTATGAAAATAATCTTTACAGCTAGGAAAGCCTAAGTAGGAAAAAAAATCGAATCCAATTACAATAATCATCACCTAAAGCATGGTTTAAAAATTAGTTAGTGTAGAAAAAAAATCTGTAAGCAAAATCTCAAACGTTCATGTTATGACCAAATCTGCAGCATAAAATTAAAATTAATAAATAAATAAATATACACTCAATCAGTGGTTAAACTGCGAAGGTTTGGAAGGGTCTTAGGAAGATGTCTGGTACTCCTCCCCTTCAATGCAGCTTCTGAAAAGTTGGGACAGAAACAAATAATGTGATCTAAGCTCTCCCCGCCTCTTCTCCATCTTTGGGGCATCCTTCTTCACAGAGTTTTGTCATAGATCTTCGGATGTCGAAGCTGAGATAATGAGGAAGAAAACAGAGGAGTATTAAATAATATTCTTCACACACATTTGTGTTATTGCAGGCACCTTGTCAGAGATCTTCGGTAGTGGAAGCTGATTCCGGATCTATATACCTGTGTTAGAGTGAAGTGCCTTAAGCGCCGCTTGGCTGGCAGAGTGTATGTATGGTTGGATGGTTGGAGGCTGTCGTCGAGCTCATCCCTTTATACACTACAGTGAGCTGGGAGACGAAAAGAGAGTCTTATCCCCAGTTCCTTGGAGTAGATTCCTCCAACTTCCCATTCGCGCTTGCAGCCAACTGTGAATACGTTGAAGGCCTAAGCTGGTAACATAACTGGTGAGAAAACTAAATCATTTCCCAAAATTTTATTAATTCCAAATCTCTTCTTCTTCTTCGCATATGTATCCATATAGATAAGAACGTACAAAACAACAGGGAAACAAAAAGAGAATCGCTGACCAATAAGCTCCTCCACTAGGATCTGCATTTGTTTGAGAATCCTTTTATATTGTTGTAAATGAAATGATTGTGCAGAGTTTTTTAAAGCATTCAAGCACTGGGCGAGAATAGTCTTATTTATAGGTATAATCGTTCTGAATCTGATAGATGCAGAACCCCATTCAAAGCCAATACACACTGTATTTATGCATATACATGCAGGTATATATGTACATATATGCACATACGGAACGATCGAGACGTGCCACAAAATGTAAGCAAACAGAGTGTGTGTTCAATTTCAAAGATATACAGACATGCATATACTAGTAGTACGAGTATATATCTTTGAATGCGATACGAACATTCCAGCCAGTTAATCTGATTACTGGTTTATGTTAACGACCTTCGTCAGACGATGGTCTTTAGTCGTATTCACGAGCAACTATTTATCTATATAAATATTCACGAAAATATATAGTCAATTAAACGGCAATTATATGACTTGTAAGTACTCGTAGATGTCTTCAAAAGGATTGCTTATAATATTTAAAATTGAAATTATTGCAAACGATAGATATGTACTTATAGAAAATGAGAGATGTGCGATCTATTTGCTATTTCCGTTTCTTCTTTGAAAACTGCATGCATGATAATGCCAGAAGATTGAATTTTTCAAATATTTTTATATCACTTTTTTTTAAAGAATAGAAAATGAACTTTGAATAGTTCTTTAGGTTGGCCTTCTTTTACCTTCTTACCATTTCTTTGAGAGCAGCTGAAGTTGAGAAGTCGAGAGATTTACCAGAGATGTACAATCTATGATATAAACATGATAATAAACATTAAATTAATAATAAAATAAAATAAAATATTGAATTGCATTATTTAATTATTTTCTAATCAATTACTAAGCATAGCTTTACGGCTTAGGCTTTCCGAAGAAATTAAAAAAAAAACAGAAGCCTGGAGGAGCGTTTTTTCCTGAACACAAACATTAAAAAATCGGACTGTAGAATAGCTATATCTCTCTAATAAGTACTTGTATATAGTGCCTGCTTATAATAATTCCTGATACAACTTCCCACCAACTTCCAACCACCATCCATCTTCTATACAATGTACTTATAGGCAACGGCCAGATTTAAAATTGCTGACTAAAATGCGCATAGATATCGGTCATATATACTATATAGCTTGTTGTGTATATGAAAGCAATAACTTGTTAAATAACCAAAAAAAAAAAAAAAAAACTGATCATTTTAGAATGGCGTAAAATCGACTTTGATTGATTTAGCGCTGGGAGTAAATAATGCCAATTAGTGTGGGGCTCAATAGGCTAGACAAGTGACAAAAGCCTGACTCAGCAGCAACAACAACAACAACAACAACAATAGTGCAGCGTATTATAAAACCCAAACAGAAATGTGAAGCGTCAGCGAAAATGATTTGCGGCCAAATGAACACCCCCACACATGTATGTGTGTATGTATGTACATCTAAACAGATATATGCATATATGTATGTATGTATGTATATGTACACATGATTTATATAAAAACTGCAAAAACAACAAACAAAATGAAATGATCGTCGCAGGGCATTTTTCAATTATCTCAGATATGGAAGTCAATAAGAGTAAGAGTAAGATGAGCTTTTCAGTGGCTTTCAATGGAACCGGAATAAACCAGAACCGATGCTATACATTCTCAATTAACTCTAGAGACTCTACCATATACGTATTTACAGAACCAGAACGAATACGACAGGGATTTGAGCTGTGACCTGAATCATCTTCCTATTTTATTATTTCATTCATTTTTATATTATTTTTAAAAAGTGTATTTGAAACATTATCCCCCCATTTATTTATTTATAAATCTAAATTGTTAGTGTTATTTCATATTTTTAGAGGCTATTTAATGTTGAGTTACATCAAAAATATCAAGAAAATCCCACGACAATACTAGATTGGTCTGAATTATTTTATTTCAATTATTACAATATATACAGTAGATGTTAATTAAGTGCTATTGATTTTTATTTGGGGGAAAAGGGCTAATATTTTCTCCCCAGAAGATATATTAAAAGAAATACTGTTCTCAAAATAAACAAAATACTTAAGATCGCTGAGCAATGTCACCAAAACTAAAGCAGCTTATAATTATGCAGATTATTTATACATCATGTACATACTTGTATGTATATAGCATATAATCTGCATTAAAATTCAAAAAAAAAAAAAAAATTCGCAATTTTACATTACATCCAAATCGAAAGCAACTTTATTTCAAAAAAAAAATATTTTAAATCAATATGTTGCCTTAAATAAGTAAACAGACTGATTTGTGTTCAGAAAAAGTAATTCATTATCCCTACCACATTGAGATAATGAGGAAGAAAACAGAGATGAAGAAGTTTAATTTTATCGTTCAAGTCGCTAGAATTAAATAATATTAAATGTTTACAAATTTGTAGGGTTTTAAAAATGTTTTAAATCATTAAATAACATAGATATTAACTCATTTGGGCAAATTGTTAAGCACAATCGTGATTCATATGTTTCTGTGACAATTTCAAAATATACTTTGCGCGCCTAACTGTCCCTTTGTTGTTGCCGCTTCTCAACACTGGCCTTTGTTCATTTTTCCACCACATGGCAGCACTAACGCCTGTTGCGCGCAGTGGCAACCTCAGCATTTCCATGCCGAAAAACTCGTGGCGGAGGGGCTGAGTTTTGTTTGAATCCAGCGAACATAACTAAAACAGATTGTCAACCATGGGTGGTCTCAGGAAGAAAAAGCATCCAAAGTCACGCACAGCCGCTTTCAAGGCCAGCGAGCCGAGCGAAATCGCCGAAGCACCACACACATTCGTCATACATCGCGGCCTCTCCTGTCCGTACATAACAGACCTGACCATCGACTTCCGTCGCGTCATGGAGCCGTTCACGGCGATAAGTCTGCGGGAGAAGAAGATGAATCGCATCAAGGACTTTGTGAGCTTGAGCAGCTTCTTCCATGTCTCCCACATGGGCATCTTCAACAAAGCATCCACACAGCTTTCCTTCAAAGTTTTGCGCCTGCCGCGTGGTCCGTCGCTGACATTCAAAGTGAGTTCTTTCTGCAGTCAGACCTTTCCGAGTATTTTGTTTATCAATATTCCAACTGCAGGTCCATCAGTTTACGCTTGCACGTGACGTCATTTCGCTGAGCAAACATCAATTCATCGACGATGATCACTTCAAGCATGCGCCGCTGGTTGTGATGAACAATTTTACGGGGGAAGGCAAGCACTTGAAGCTAATGGCCACCACGTTCCAGAACATGTTCCCATCCATCAATCTGGCGCAGGTTAACATTGGCACGATACGCCGTTGCGTGATGTTTTCGTACAATCCGGACACAAAGCTTGTCGAGATGCGACACTATTCGGTGCAGGCCGTGCCCGTTGGATTGAAGCGTTCCGTACAAAAAATCATTAAGGGCCGTGTGCCCAACTTGAATCAGTGCGAGGAACTGGCCGAGTTTGTGACCAGAGATGGTTATGCCTCGGAATCCGAGGCCGAAGACGATGAGCAATCGCATGTATTGCTGGCACAGACGCTCAAGGGTCGCGGCAATTTGGAGGGCAGCAAGAGCTCCGTGAAATTGCACGAGATCGGGCCACGCCTCACCATGCAGCTAATAAAGATCGAGGAGGGCCTGCTGACGGGTGAGGTGCTCTATCACGATCACATCACGAAGACAGAGGAGGAAAAGGAGGAGCTGCGCAAACTAATTGAGAAGAAACGCAAACTGAAGGAGCAACGCAAAAAGGAACAGACAGAGAATCGTGCACGAAATCTTAAACAAAAAACCAAAATGGCCAAACGTGAAGCCAACGATAATGCCAGTGAAGATGAGGACGACGCCGCCTACTACGAAGAGGAGGTGGGCGAGAAGCCCGACGAGGGTAAGTTCTGCCGAAATCACAGCTCCCTCTGTGTGTACCCCAATAACCCCCTATACATCTAATCTTTGCAGAACTCTTCAAAAACGAAAAGAAATCGTCGTCACGCAAGCGCCCGAAATTGCCAGGCGCCATGAAATATAATAAAAACAATAAGAAGCCCAAGAAAGAGACAAAAGCTAAATAAAACTTAGAGTAAACCTTTTTTTCCCCCCAAAAAATTTTAATTGGTTTTCTATTAAAGCCGTGTGCGGATCAGTTCTAGTTGAAACTTATGTGTCTAGGAAGCCATATCTATTAAAAGAAAATGTTGTTACTTTGTTGCCTAGCTGACAATATTTGTCAGTAATATTGAAGGATGTTTGAAGAAAGTACCTGGAGTCGAGTGCTACTCTATATTTCTTAGCAGCACATCACTCTTTGGAGTCGAAATTATAATAATACTAGCGTCCCGTCCCTGTTTCGCACGGGTATTTTACAAAAATTCAAAAATTATAGATTTTGTAACTCACACACATGCATCCTTCTTTTAGCTAAGAGTTACTAAAAAAAGGAAAATATTAACATACAAGTACTAGCTTGGATATTATTACTTTAATGCCTTTTTTGTTATTTTTTTTCGATTTTTTGTTTTCTTTGATAAGTCAGAGCTTCTCTGTAAACGATATTTGAAGTTGTTTTATTTTGTGGCAGTAAAATAAATTGATTTTCAGGAGCTCTGACCCGTGATAGGCCTAGAGTAAAACACTCCTCTTTTAGGTCGATCCTTACTAATTCGAAGATTTGACCTTGGGAATTGTTAACAGTTAACGCGAAAGGTGTTTTTAAATGGGATTGACAGATCAGTTGGGATCATTGGTATCCTCGGTTGACGATTTGACTAAATTGTCCTGCAATCCCTGATAAGCAGCCCCGTTCCTTTGCACATGCTCAGAGGGCTTTAATTTCTTAAAAGCATGATTGGAATTCCGATTTTTAACTTTAATTCATGTGGCGGCAGTCCAGAAGGGTTTAGCGAATTTAATTGAATTCAAATTCCTGTGGGTAGTGGACTGTCTCTTCAATATTAGTCACGGTGTCGATCGACTTGCAATTTTTTATTTGGCTGGGGACTTTTGAATAATATTGCCTTAATATTTAAAGTGGCATAATGTTTCGAGGATGATTCTGAACTAACAGGATGCTGTTGAGGAATTTTTTAGGTACTGTTTGTAGACCTTGGGTTACATTACTGGTCTTATACTTTGCAAATATATTATATCCTATGTTAACCGGGAATAGTGTAGCTTCCCAACATTGAATGAATCCAGTAGTTTCGGAGCCTATTCAATTCAAATAAACATTCAAATCTTTCCTCTTTATAATATAGAAAAAAAATGTTATAATTCGTTTGAATATATACTCAATTATTCAGTCAGAGAAAACTACACTTTATTTAACTAATAACTTAAAAGTTCTTCGATCTTGGAATGTCGAGATCTCCACCATAAAAAACAAGAAAAATCAATTATTTCTCTTATGCACTTCTTCGCATGTGCATACATACAAGTATGTCTGATTTATTTGTCCAGCTTCTACTACCGTGGTATTACATACCAGTTGTGGCCGAATATGAAAAGCCAACACTTGTTATAATGCTACAATTTAAATAAAAGTCACAAGTACAGCGGATTAAGTACGAATTACAAATTGGAATCTAGTGCGCCAACGGCAGTGCTACCCATTCACTCACAGCGCGACAGCTATCGAGAGTGAACAGCCTGCCGATATGCAGGGACATACAAAAGCTGGCTGCTACCAATACCGCGCGTCTGCTCAGTCCTTCGGTTCGGTTTTTAAGAACGCGCGGCAATAAGATCGTTTGCTACAATATCCACAAGCTGGCGAGTAGTCATATATATGTACATATGTATATATATTATATGTATAAAGCCTTACATTCGCAACGTTTGGCAACTACACGGGCGGCGACTGTTCACTGCAAAAAGCAAAGCATTAGCGCTCCGATCGTACAACATTAGAGGCTCAACATACTTCTCTGAAATGTCGTCATCCTTGGATTGCATATTGCGGGCGATTTGCTGTTGTTGCTCCTCCACGGACCTGAATTTGGCGACTCGCTGTGTGGGCGCCTCCTCCTTGATGCCGTGGTGTAGCAACTTGTGCTGCCGAATCTTGTAGTGCTGCAGAAATCCTGCCGGGCAGTATTCGCAACGGAAGCGCTCCCCCGTGTGCCGGCGAATGTGGGCCTTGAGATCGTTGCCCTGGGCAAAGGCCTGGGGGCAGTGGGGACACTTGTAGGGACGTTCGCCGGTATGGACGCGTGTGTGTATCGTGAGATTGTATTTGCGCAGGAATCCCTTTCCGCAGGTCTCGCAAAAGTGCGCCTTCTCGCCCGTATGGTATCTGAAAGATTATGCGATATATACATATGTATATATAGAGTTATGGACACTACGGCGGGGCTGCTCAATAATTACACTCACTTCTCGTGGACGCGCAAATCGTCCATGCGCGGGAATCCTTTGCTACAGAACTTGCACTTGAAGGGCTTTTCGCCGTTGTGGCGTCGCATGTGAACCATCAGGGTGTGGCTGGTCTTGCAGCGTAGCCCGCACTCGGGACAGAGCATGGGCTTGTCGTGGCCCTTATCCTTGATGTGAGCGGTCAGCTCGTCGCGCGTCCCATAGCTGGTCGAGCACGCCTTGCACGCGTACCGCTTCCGTCCGTGCAGTCCCTGATGTCGGATCAGATACAGCCGCGAGCTGAACTGGCGCTCGCAAATGTCGCAGTGATGGACCAGCTTGGACCTGCCCCCCTTCTGTCTGCCGCAACTCTTCGACTCAGCACCCTCTTTTTGGTTGATCTTGTCGCACAGCAGCACTAAAAGCCACAATTGAAAAGGATAAATAATTGGGACAGAAAAGAGTAATCTTCGAAGTATAAAGTGTATGCCCCATATAACAAAGCTCTGGTGGATCGGGGTGAGTAGTTGCTAAATCGGTGTAAAATATTATTGACTCATTCTGCTTCTCATTAAATGATACCAGCAGTTTCTTTAGACCCTCTTTTGTGCCGAGAAGGCAAATTTTTCAATATTAATTGAAAAGTCTCGTACATTGATTTTTATTTGTTGATAGAGGTTAGCCTATTTTTTCCCAATTTGGGGCCTATTTCTGTTCACCTTTTGGAAAAATCTCTATACGTCTGTTTAAACTTAGTTATAATATTTATCATGGCGTCATCAGAGGTCTACATCCGAAGTAATACATGAAAAAGACTGCAATTTCTTGTCGGTACAGTTTATCCGACTTTTTGAGTGAAGGATATAGAACATTATGAGTAGAACAAATGTTCAGTGGTCCTTTTCCATCTGTTATTTTGATGTCAACTGCAAAATATTTTCATCTACATAATAGTTATAATACATTTAAAATATGATGAGAATCTAACTGGGATTTCAGAGAAATAAATGTATAGAATACGCCGGAAAGATAGAACGAACTCTATATGCATATAATAATATTCAGTGGATGTAATACACAATAGATTTAACATAAGAAACAATCTAATATAAATAGTATACAAGTGTGGACTATTAGAGTATCTATCTGAAGTCTCTATCTGAACTTATCACAACTTGCATCTGAACTAGCAACAAAGATGTACGTATATTGGAAAGTAAACCTAGCATGGATGTGCTAGAAATTAGAACCTTCTTCAAAAACTTTGATGCCTTTACAATTGTTCAGATTCTCTCTGGGAACATACCCTCTATAAAGCCATTAGTTTGCTCCTCAGTCTTGATTTCCACCTTCAAATTGTTCACATCTAATTCGTTATTGGGGACCAATCGAGTCTCCATTTCCAGCTCCTCGTAGGCGGCTGGTTCGATGGGCATATCGCAGATAGCTTCGCTGCTTTCGGAGCATTGTTCACCTTCCTCCTCCTCCTCCTCGGCCTCTTCAGCCGTCTGTTTCGCTTCAGCAGTTGGCTTCTTTTTGCTATAACTGCTGTTCTCCTTCCCCTCATCCTCCTCTTTATCCTGCTGCTGCTGCAGACTCTCCTTCCTGCTCAACAGCTGACAGAGACGCCGGTAGCTCTGCTCGCATTGTCGTTTGAAGCGAAAGGCATTGCGAGTGGCCAGCTCGCAGCCCAAACAAATGTGCTGAGGCAGCGCGTCCTCCCGCCTCACCTCACAGTCCACACACTCGCTCATCATCTCGGCCAGGCTGGGCGCCACTTCCAGTTCCTCTTCCACAGCTTCCACTAGCTCTGTGTCTGGCTCTGTGAATATCCGGACCAGCGTGACGTCATTGCTCAGACACACACGACATAGGTGCTCCATATTTAGCAATATGGTGTGGCCCATTTAGTGCTATTTGGTTCGCAACAGCCGCCCCGGCATCTATAAATGTTTGACACCGACAAAACCGCAAAAAATTTAAAAATCCTCCACAAAACACAATGTTTGTAAATAATAAAGAAATGCGCTTGCAACGCGAAAAGTGTGACCAGATAACCAAAGCGATAAAATACCTAATTCAAAAAATACCACGCACACAAAATCCCAATCCTTTCTACATTTTCTTCGCGGTAGTGCAAAGTTTTCACTCTCCCACTGAAGTATTTGTCATTGTTGTTGAACTGAAAAATCGCTCAAACATGAGAAGGAGGAATTCCATACCATGTGAGCTTTTGCGATACAAATTTTTGAAATGTTAGGGAGCAGTATTCCCACAACAAATGGAAACTGAACATGTTGCTTTCCTTACCTGCCACAAATTTCCAATACTTTTCATTGTAAGAATAAAAAAGGCCCATTATTTTCTTTCAACTGCAAGTATTTAAAATGAAGAAACGTTTTTCAAATTGCTGGGCATTTTTGATAGCGCTATTAGAAGCCCAATTCTTTCTAGCCAATAATTATTATTCTCCTATTGATGGATTCAGCTATTGATGGAACCATTAAAAACTACGGACTCCTCTTGTGTTGCACTGAAATATCTGGTTAGTCGGTTACCAATCGACTTATAATTGAGATTATCGGCTGTATTTGTTTAAAGATTGCTCGGCTTTTTTTTTCTCAAATGCAATTGAGCAATGAACAACCTTCTAGACATAATACAAATTATTCTTATGTCGTATGTATAATATTAATGAATATTTTATATAATATAATATTTTGCTATTACCGATTTTTTATACATAGTTATTTTGAGAAGTATAATAAAAAAATTATATCATTCAACGCTTTATTTGTTTAATACCGCCAAAATACCAATTTGATATTAAAAATGAAATGGCACGCATTGCGATAGTGCTGCTTACTGCGATAACATATTGTTATCGCTTACCCGTTATTTGAATGCAACTTTGAAAATGAAACATATGTGTGTGTGTTTCCTTTTGGCTTGCACTGTACAATATTTATTTATTTCATTTTTACGTGTAGTATTTAAACACTAAACATTCAAGAATATTCGTTTGCTTCCAAAATATATTTATTCAGAGATTATTGCTATTTGTGTAGTTGTTGTCGTTCAGTTTGTCGTTGTAGGTAGAAATTGCGGCTTATTGCTTAGTTAGGTTTCGAGTCTATTTGTTGTTATTGTTCACAATTACAGATACAGTATAAAAAAAAGTTGGAGATAAAATCAAGGTACATGACTATCGATAGAGTCTGCGGAAAATGTTCGGTTTTTGGGTGATAGAGTTACTTATGCTTAGAGGAAATAATACAAAGTATGTGCTGATACTTTCGGCTTTCAATAACAATTACAAGTAAATTAAATAAATTAAATACCGCTAATTAGTTTCTTAACACTAAAAACGCACACACATGCAAATAAATAAGGTTTAAATGCAGCTGTTAGTCAAAATAAAATAACGCAGCTTAATGAATACTAATAAAAAAAAAACACTAATAAAAAAAACCTCAATCGAACTGCTTCAGTTTTTATTTCATTGGATATTATAAGCTTTCAAGATATAAACCTCAAATCTGAACTCTGCACTATTTGAAATGCTTGAAGATTAATGCACGTGCGGACGGGCAAACAATTTGCACAATTGAACAGCAAATCAAATTTATATGGATGCATCAGAAACTTTTGAAACTCTACAAGGTTGTGCGCAAATTATTTGTCTGTCTGAACTAGAACTCGGAGAGTTGTTGCCTTGAATCGAGTTAGATTTAGATTTAAAACCCAGAATTGGGTTTACTTATTGTACTCGGTACAGAAAACAATCGAAATGGAAGTAAAAACTGCAGCAGTTCGATTAATTCTGCCAACTGTTCTTTGCTTAAGTCTGTGCTTAGTACACTGCAAAGAATGTGCAAGCAAACTATTTAAATTTTCTCTTTTGTTTGAAAAATTCTTGCAGTGTATAAAGTTTTCATTATATTGTATGCGTTTTGATTTGATAAATTCGGGGCACTAGAAACCTTGCCCTTTATTGCTTAACACTGTAGTTTTTTAAAAGTAGAGACATACACTTAGAAAAAAAATTCTGATTGAGCGAGAAGGATAGGGCGCATGAGAGAGGAAGTACGAGTACTGGATAAAGCAATAAAAACATCTACGCGCAGCTTCGCGCTCGGCGCTGGAAACGCTTCATGCGTCGATACCAATCGTCCTTCCATTCGATGACAATCGAACGTGGACCGATGCCCAAATAGCCGGGCGGCGCTTCCGAGTCCCGGCCCAAAATCAAATAGGATCTATTGAATGCAACAGAGAGTATTAGTATTAGTATAGTGAGAGAGTAGAGTTGTGCTTTCTCTTTAGAAATGACTCACCTGTTGACTTTGATTTTGGGACAGCGACACTCGAGATTCTTAAGCGGTATGATCCAAGTCATAGGACCGGGTCTTAGCATTGTATTCGGCATTCCATAGTCGGGTTTGCTGCGCTTGAACACTGCCTGTATTTGCAGGTCGTATCGAACCGTTTCGCTGTCGTTTTGATAGTCCGGATCGCTGTTGCTGCTGCCGCCGTAGGCCCCCTGATACTCGTACTCCAGCCCTGGTGCGTGACTCTCTCGATGCGGCTGGGGCATGCCCTCCATTTCGTAGTCCATATCCTTTCGCTGTTGTTGTATAGCGCGACGATTGTGACTGTTGTTGTTGTTGTAATTGTAACGCTCGCTGCTTGCCGCCTCGCTGCTCGTTTCGCGACCAATCACTTTGGCCATTATTGCTAAAAAAAAATAAATAAATAAAAAAACAACGAAAATTGCACTCAGAGCCAATCCGGGAAGTAAAGTATTCACACTTACCGTAGTCTCTTTTGCAAAACTTGTTGAGATTTAACCGTTTGGTAATTATTTTGCATTTTTCGCATTCTGCAAAGAATTAGAAAAGAGAGAGAGAATGTGAGTTAGATTCTGTTTCTGAACGCTTCTCCAAATTTTATGCAGCTGTAAAAATGCGGAAATTCGGAAGCAAAAAGGATTAACCATCTATGAGTTGGATTAGAGAAGTGGAGATGAAAATGGATCTTAAATAAGAAGATTATTCTTCAAATACTGCTCTTAACATGGCCAATGTTCAACTATATTTATCAACGGCATTATGTTTCTCATATGGGAACAACTATTGCAAAAAAGGCTATATAATCCAGATTTGAAGCGAATGCAACACGCATAAGACAACGTTTAAGTGTAAGTAAATTCGAGCCGCAAATGAGGAAAAAGTGTGATTAAACATGAAAACAAAAATAAAATATAAAACACTCGCTTAGAAAGTTAAAAATTAATGCAATATTCTGGGGCGTTGTTTGGGATAGAAGCATTAAGAGATCGATACTACTAGAGACTTGTTTTTTGCTGCCTGGTATTCATATCAGTTTAATCTGATGATGAGCAAACAAGACAACATAATAACCTCTTCTGCACTTTGTAAACTCAATAAACATATGCCCTTACAGTGGTCTTACACTGTTTATTCCATCACTCTTAATTAGTGATTTATACAAATTGGCTATAAAGTTTATTTATTCTTGCTGGCTGTGATTGCCTCAGCTTTTTATACCTTGTATGAGAAGAAACCATCTCGGACACCATAACGTATATTTATTCTTAATCAGAATGACCAGAGAAATCGATTCGTCTGTCTGGATGAACGCCTGGATTTTAGAAACGCCTGGGACCACATTGACCAAACTTGGTATATAGGCTCTACTTATTCAAAGACAATATTTATTTTTTTTTTTTTAATTTTTCTCCCTCTCTTCCCGCTACAGAATTTCGTCTGTCCAAAGCTACAAAGACCAAGCTTTGCAAACGTATTACATGTATAATTCTCTTCTTTTTTGTTAGTCAAAAAAGAACTACTCACGGAAAGTTTGCTTGGGTACAGTGTATTTCATTGCCGGCCTTGCTCGGCTCTAGCATTATCTTCTGTTATCCCTTAAATGCATACGAGTACGTACCAATCTTCTCAATTAAAAAAGTGAATTCTTATACAATTTGCTAAATTTGCGCGTTCAAGCGTCTGTCTGTATGAACGCCTGGGTTTTAGAAACAGCTGAGCCCACATTATTCAGACTTGGTATGTAGGCTTTTCTGTTTCTCAGGCAATACAAGTTTACTTTATTGTTTTGATTTTCTTTCCCTTCCTCTTTTTGGATGAGCTAATTGTATAAAAATATCTATGTAATGTAATCGGCTCGCGTGCCCTTCAGATCGGGCATTTACTGTGGCTGTGTTTACAATTTAATTGCAAAATTTATGTCTTTATGGCCAATGCCAATTAGTGCAACAACGATGCCCGATCAGATTTACATTAAGATCTCCCCAACCCCCCAGCCCCCTCCCCCATCTCCCCACTACAATGCAAAATACGCCGCACTTGCACCACAAAATGCCGCAATTGTTGCTCTTGTTGTTGTTGTTGTTTCTGTTCTTTTCCCTCGCCTTTTATTTGCCTTAGACTGCTTTTGTTACTAAAATTAGATGCCGTTTTTGTTTTCTTTCGAGTTTTTTAATTGCTGCAATGCATTTGCATATGCCCAGACGTCGACGTTGTTGTTGTTGTGTCACGCCCGCCGCCAATGTCAAAGCAATCGTGACACAAATGACGCGATCCAATCGCCCAGACCACCTCCTCCCCTTATAAAAAATGGGGGAAAAGTAGAATCCGCACTAGGAAAAAGTGAATTCCGATTCGATCGATTTGAAATGCATAAACATTTTTTATATTATGTATATGACCCAGGAGCGTACGATTACGACTTTTTTTTTCTAAAATTGGCCGAACGCTTGGCGCCCCTGTTGAGCGGCAAACAAATCGGGCATTGGATATTGAAAATGTACGTGGAATGGCATTTAAATATGTACACACATATTTTTTTTATTTTATGCCCTCTGCGCTAACTATTTCGGCATCTATTTTGGGTTTAATTGTTTATGGACGCACTTTGTTCGATTCTGAATCACCTTGCCGACGGATGTGCTTCCTTTGCTCAAACAAATTCGACGCCAATGGGCGCCTCATTAATTGTTACGCTCTACACTGAAACCGAAACGGGCAAAGCAGTTATCCAATTCTATACTCTTCAGAAGAGACTATGCCTTCAAAGACCATTAAAAGGCCCACATTATCGAATTTGTAATTAAAAAGCATTATTTCATTTTTTCGGCCTTGAATCGATTTCTGTATTGGTTTTAAAGCTGTAGCTCTAATTGTGGGGGAGCTGTTACAAACGTATATCCCAAAAACAATATACCCCTACGCTCTTTAGTGGAGGGTACAAGTATAAAAGCAATTATGCACATAACGTTGCGCTGTGCTTTAATCAAAAATGCATTTAATTACCGTGCACTGTCGATTTATTGAATACCTATAAGGATTTAAGGTATAATATAATGGTTGCACGATGAGTAGCGCTGTTTTGAAACCAGGGATGGTTATTATAAAAAACCTACAATAATTCTTTTGATAGGGATAAATAACATAAGCCCATTTACCATAAACAAAGGTGTCTTTTCATAACTCAAGAGTATTTTGAATAGTCTTACTGGTCCAAGAATTTTTTGAACATATTTAAAGAATATTTTAACCGGTTAATTGTTCATTTGAAATGTGTTTGTTATTATATACGATTATAGCCCTCTCAAAAGATTGATAACTTGGGACAGAGGTTAAAGAAATTTCGGGTCAACAATTCGCTAAAATTCCCCTTAATTTTCAAGTGCTGAAGTAGCCTACTATCTTGCCAATCTGCTGCACCGAAGTAGTTTCTTAATCCAAAAATAGTAAATTCTTATACAATTTGTAAAATTTGCGCGTTCAAGCGTCTGTCTGTATGAACGCCTGGCAATTAGAAACGGCTGAGTTCACATTTTTCAAACTTGGTATGTAGGCTCTTCTATTTCTTAGGCAATACGAGTTTACATTATTTTTGTGATTTCTGCCTTTCTTCCCCTTCTGCTTTTTGGATGTGCTAGCGCTCATATGGGAAATTTTTGTTTTGAGGATAGGACTTGCTTGGCATTCTCTTTTGTTTTAACAATTTTTATTTATTTGTGTTATGTCTGTGCTATAATTTGTTCAAAAATTAATATTATTTGACTGTTAAATAATAGATTGTGATTTAATTATTTTTAGAAAGAATTGATTTTCTTTACTCAGTTTCTCCAAATCGACTTTAATTCAGTGGCGGATATTATCAGACGGAGACTCTAAAAACTATATATAAAAAGAGCTTGTAAGAACTTAAAATATTCCAAAAATAGCCCATGACTAATATGTTTCAGTATCGTGTGGAAATACATATGTTTATTTTTTTCCGTGCATTTTTTGTTGCTGTCTAGTTTTTGTTGAAAAGTGCAACCGCTCCGCCCACAGTGAATGAAAAATTGTTGCTCAAAATGTCACCTTGGAGTTCACACTATTTTTGGCCTTGCTGTTATTGTTGTTGTTTTTGCTGCTTGTTTGTTGTTGCTACTGTTTGTTGTTGTTATCGTGTGGACGAATTGACCACAAATGCAAAAAGTTGAAACTTTTAATTGTACATAAAATTAGCATGAATTAAAGTAATACTCGTAGAATCGTGTGTTTTGGAAAATCAGAGAACTTGGGTTCAACTTTAAATTAACTCAACGGAATTTCAAATTAATTTAATGTGATTATCAAATTAGAAATTCATAATTAACATTCATGTTGGCATTGGCATCACGTCCTTGCTGCTGCCCTATTTCCTCACTTCCTCCCCTCCCGCTCCTCCTCCACACTCCTAGTCTGACGACTACTTTGCGAAATGGCAAAGGACGAACTTTTGCTACGTCTGTGTGTTAGCTGTCTGTGAGTGTGTGTGTGAGTGTCTATATTGCTAGCATTCCTTCTTCTGGTTGCCGCCTCGTCTGTCGTCGGTTACAGCGAAAGCAACAACTTTAAATTTAACTTTTACTTTTGATTGTCCTTGGCAAATAACATTTTAAAATGGATGCTCATTTACCGCCAACCAAGGTGCCTAGATCTAGATCTTTCCCTCTTCCCCCATTCCATTCGCTTGCATTTCAACTTGGCCTTGTCTCCCATTTCTGAGTCTCTTGTCTGGAAGTTTGCATTCGTAATTTCCTTCTATATGCTCTGCCTAATTGAATTAAATGTAATGTGAAATGGCATCGATTCGATTTGCATAGCGAGCTAACCGACGCGTCGAGCACTTTAAACGCAAGTCAAATATTTCCTCTTCACAACTACTTTCCAAATATGTCATATTTGGATTGATCAGTGGATTTGACTTAAGTATTAAAATCTTTTGCAATGCCTACCAATGGAAAATTATTATTATTTTTGAATATTTCAATTAATCAAATTATTTGTTTGTTACTCAGATATTTGGTGTCCTACTTTCCTTTTATTCGACAAAATTGATCTAAACTCAAGGGAAGTATGCAAATCTTTATCAAAGATTATAAAACTATACTTTCCTCTCAGTTCGGTCCGATCTGCTTAATTAATAAGACAGTCAGTCATAGAATGTTCTACAGTCAATCAGACAGTCAGTCATAGAATGTTCTACAGTCAATCATACAACCAATAATATAATCTTCTACAGTCAGTCAAACAGTCAGTGATAGAATGTTCTACAGTCAGTCACACAGTCAGTGATAGAATGTTCTACAATCAGTCATACAGTCAGCCATTTAGTCAATCACACAGTTGGTCATACAGTCAATCATAGAATGTCTTGTAGTCAGTCAAATAGTTAGTCATAGAATGTTTTACAGTCAACTATACAGTCAATCATACAATCAATCAGACAGTCAGTCATAGAACGTTCTACAGTCAATCAGACAGTCAGTCATAGAATCTTCTACAGTCAATCATAGTCAGTCATAGAATGTTTTATAGTCAATCAGACAGTCAATCAGAGAGTCTACAGTCATTCAGACATCAGTTAAGGTAGTCAGTCTTTCGTTTCAACAGTCGCTTAATCAATAAGTCCCTGACTTAGCCAGTTAGTAAGTCTATCAGATAGTCAGCAAGTCCAGCAGTTAGTCAGTTAGTAAGTGAGTAAGTCAGTTATCCAGATAGTAAGTTAATTTGTCCAGTCACTGCACTTTTGCGGCTGCTGTTCTCAGTGTCGTCCGCTCCCACTTCGGTTGCCTTGGTAATGCGCTCTGCAAATAGTTGGGCAACAATTAGTGGCTCAAAGCAGCGGCAATTGCAACTAACGCCACACTAACTAAACGGCCACAGTGCCGCTTAAAAGTACACGTACTTGTCTTGTCTATCTTTCAACCGCATATCATCCACTGCTACTCTCTTTCCGCCTCTCGCTCTATAGTTTTTGCTACTTTGCCAGTTCCCATTCATGAAAATTAAATAAAAACTTTTTAATACATTTGCGTGTTGCTGCCTTTCTTTTTCTTTTCTTTTCCTTTCTCTTCTGTCCTACTGGCGTCTCTGCCACACGACTGTGTTGCATCTTCATCGCTTGCGCTTTGTGCAAAGTTTACTTTTAGTTGAGCACGCGCTGTCTGAGTGATGGGTGTTGCTGGACAGGGTGGCCGGCGGGGGGTGGTGCCGGTGGCGGCCTTGTGTGAGCTCTTGGGTTGGCTGGCGTAAATTACACGCCTCCACCTCCGCCTTGGTGTCCATTTTGCCAGCAACCTCTAAGCTCGGCATGATTTATGCCGTGTGGCGCATTTTGTTTGCTTGTTGCTTTCCCTTCTTAGCAACCACCTAACACCGCCACCACATCCAGCTGCACCACTCCCCCCTTCTGTTAGTTGCCGGCGGCTGCAAGCTGCAACAACTGTAACTAAAAGTTGAGCAAACATTTGCGCTGTTGCTGCTGCTGCTGCTGCTGCTGCTGCTTCTGATGCTGCAGCTTTGCCTTCAACATCTTTTAGCGATGAATTTCATGAAACATTTTCAATATTATAAGTGGCTGGACAAGCAATAGTCTCTCTAGTTGCTCATTTGTTTCCAAGACTATGAGTTTTGAAAAATTCAACACTTTCACGAACAGTTTTGCATTAACTATATTTTGAAAAATAAATAAATAAGTCTCTAATTTTGGAGTTCTTTCTCCACTCTATCAAAATTCTTAGTCACGCTTAAAAAGAAAGGGTTGTAAGCAATTTTAATATCTAGAATTATGAAACAACTGAAATCAGTGTGTACTCAAGGCATGGTCACACATGCAAATTATTTCGACGCAGATGTGTGTTCTTTCACGTTTTTTTTTAATTCATTCTAAAACAAAGTTTCTATAGAATTCTTATTATAATTTTCTTCTTTTATATTGTACATTTGTAAATGTACACACATATTTGTGTGCAAATTATTTGCCTGTCTGACCACATTTAATAATTTGCAATATTTTCAAATTGTTGAAAACACTTTTCAAACTATTACTTTCTCTATTTACCGAAGCGAAAGGCCTAGCAATGGTTTTTGTAACATTGAAAGAGCACTAATTTCCCATTTTGTCACGCGCCCATCTCTAACTGCAGCGTCAGCTTCTGTGTTAAGTGCCTGTTCCTGGGTATAGCCACTCAGAGAAGCTCAGTGCGCCGCGCCGCAACGCTTAAGCGACTGCACTTTAGCGGATTTGTGTTTTCTCACCCATTTGAAAGGATTACAGTTGTGTTTCAGCTATTGTTGCTGTACTAGTTGTTGTTGTTGTTATTGTTGTTGTGGTTGCAGCGACCACCAACAACTAAAGCAGCAGCAACAACAGGAGGTTTTTGGTAGTAAGTTGGATCACAACGACGATATAGAATGAATATGAAAGCGCACTTACTTACCCCTACCGCTCTCGGTGCGATAGTATTGTTGAGCGACCGAACTGCCGACGCCTCTAACGCCACCTGCCACGCCTCCTCCTCCGCCTCCGCCACCTGCTGATTCATGCACCGCACTGGGCTCCGGGGCTGTATTCTGTGTGTCCAACATGTTATTCATGCGCGGCACTTGCTCTAAGATTTCAAACAAACGAAATTATTTAACAGTTTTCGGAACTATTCTCAAGAACTACAAGTACTAGACCGCGCTCTATTTTAGAAAAATCGCAACATTGCATAAGATTGGGGAAGCGAGTTTGTCAAAAAAAAAAAAAAAAACATTTAAGCATTAAACATTCTTAAAAATAACTGACAAAACAATTTCAGACCGAAAATTAAGGCTTATTCTTATAAAGCCATGGCTTATCATGCCAGTCCTAATTATAGGAAACTACATACAACCACAATTTTGGTAAGAGGCAGTCTAATCTAACTAAGAAACTTGATATAGTTGGATTTGAAACGAGTAAAATTTTCAGTTAAGCTGAACATTTGGATGACAGCTACATTATATATGCACCGATTTTAATAATACTTTCGAATATAGTGAGGCCTTATCATGATTTAGATACAAGTACCTTTATAAACAAAACATACAATTTAGTATCGGGTAATAATAAAAATTGGTTTGTGTCTGGTTGTCCTTCAAAGACTAAAGTAAGACTAAAGCATTTTCAATTATTTAATTAATAAATGAACCTCACTCGATTGTGAAAAATCCAAAATATTTGATAACATACCATTTTTCCATATTTGCTATTACTAAAGAATTTACAATACAAATTGTTGAATATTTTAATGGACAATATTTAATTAACAGCCCAAAACGAATTACAAAAAGTCATTTAGAACAAATACTTCTTGAATATTCAAGTTTTGTAAAGCTCTAAGGATTTCAAATTTTTTTTTTTTTTGATGATAAGATTAATTATTAATTAAAGCCCTTTTTATTCTTTTTTTCCTAAGTAGCTACATATGTTTGACAGCTATAATATAATACTATACTGATACTATAAAAAGTTCTTCATTTAATTAAAGAAAATGATTTGGAAGCTTTTTAAATTCAATGATCTTTACTGCATTCTTTTGAAAAACCCGTTGCTGTAATGCTGCTGATTTTCCGAAACTAAAAGTAACATTTAAAAATTGAACGAATTTGTGGACAAAATATTTGCCTGTCTGACCGTTACACAAAACTAAATGGGAAACTTGAAGCTAGTGAGTAGCGCTTTTGTTTTCGTAAATTGAAAATTGCTCGGTCTAGTAATCAGCAATATCTCTCTGTTCGATTTACTTACTGATGCAGGGAGCGACGTGGGAGTGACTCAGTTGATAGCCGTGGTCGCATCTGTTGCATGTGAGGCCCGTGACGCCGGCCTTGCACGGACATTGACCGCTCGTGTTGTTGCATATCTGGCCAGATGAGCCAATGGGATGGCATTCGCAGGCTGCAAGTAGATAAGGCAGAACGCATGAGGTGGGGGGGCATGAGTGAGTGAATGATACGCACAACGAAAGCACAATTATAGCAGTGATATGAAGAAGAAAGGGGGGAGAGAGAGACGGGGAGGGGAGGGGGGGGGGAGTTAAAAGAACATATTGAACAGGCGGCGTGTTGAGAGCTTAATTAACGCAACGAACGCCTCGAAGGCACTTCAAAGCACCCTGGACGCTGGCTGGACAATCGCAAATCGAAATCTGCGCCCAACCGCAATTGTGTGCGATATGAATCCATATGGTGTATCGGTATATATAATTATACTATTTGGCATGGGGTCTGTGGCTGTTGCCACAACTACTTGAGTTTTACTTAAGGTTCGATTGTTTGTTTGCTTTCCTTTTTGCCACAACATGAAACGCGGCGCTTTTAACTTCATTCTCAGGTTGGCCAACAGCAGCAGCAGCAGCAGCAGCAGGAGGCGACGACAGTCCGTCGTTTATGAGCCGTCGAAATGTGCATTCAGTTGCAAGTGCAGATGCAGCACTCCTTTTAACTCACATCATACTCTGTCCCGGTCCCGGTCCCGGACTCAGACTCGGACTCGGTAGTTGGTCAATTGGGTGCACGTTGCCAGTTAAATGCGTTCGCCTTCATTTTGTAGCAATTCGCTTAATTGCAAATGAAAGTGCAAATGTGCTGCAGATGCTCTGCGTGGGAAAATAAAGCGAGGGGCGAGGGGATGGGAGGGGGGGGGCTCAGAGAAGCCCCTTTAGCGCCATTAACTGCATTAAAAATATGGAAAAGGACGAGCAATTTCTTGGCCATCATCAACTGCTGCAGCTTTTCTTTTGAAGATATTTTCCGTTTTTATTTTCCTTTTCCTTTGTTCTTCAACAAATCTTCTGAGCCATGGCAAAACTTATCATCGCCATGAATCAATAATGGCGTACTAATCCATTAAAAAGCAGACAAACGTTCACCATTCATAGTGGCCTTTTAGTCTCCTAGTTATATGTATGATTAAATATATATTGAGTGTAAAGTTCACAACCGCATTGGTTTTTCATATTTGCGTTAAAAACGAATGTAACTTTGTTCCATTCTTCGTTTCAATATATATTGATATTAAGCTACAAAAAAATACAATAATTCGTTTCTTAAGTGTTAAATTAATAGATACACACTATATTATTTGTTGATTGCAGATGTAAAAAGAATATGAGTAGTGCAGGAGTAAAATTATTTCGCTAAACAAAATCCTTAGAATTGTCTGATTTGGATGCAATTGAAAACAAGAGCATTATTTATTATGATCGTTTTGAAGAAAGTGGGGGAGGGAAAATAAAAAAGTGTAATTAACTAAAGACAAGGAGAGTCTTCATATCATGTTTAGTCAGTGTAGGCTTAGACATTTCCAAAATCAAGACGTTCATCCAGACAGACTGACAAACAGATATGTCTAGATCAATTTCTCTCATGCTCATGCTGATTAAGAGTACATATACTTTAAAGGTTTGGACGTGCTTCCTAATATACTCCTTTTCCCCCTTTTGGGTACAAAAATCTTGCATTCATAAACGTTCAAATGCCTTTTTTTCGACCCACCACAGCTGTACCAAAGAATATACACAGCATATTGAATTCGTATTCGTGTGCGTATTTATGGCATCTTCTCAGAGCTTTATATTTCACTTTCATTTAAATTTGTATCATAGCCTTACAATTGTAGATGGATTTCCCTTTGTTTTCATATTTCTGTGGAAATGAATGTTGGTTGCGGGCGGTTCTCATCGCTCGTTTAAACATTTGGTGCACTTAGCGCTTTCCATTGCCTTGCATTTGGCCCCTGCGGCAAAAACAGCAGATGCCGCTTCTTCCTGCAACATGCGCCACAGCTTCCACTTCCACTTCCAGTCCACTCTCCTCTTCCCAGAGCCCCTGGTCCATTAGTAGGCAGGCAGATAGCACTAGTTGGCTTGCAACTATGGTGGGTTCTAACGTCCATTCATGCCCTTTCCCTTCTGGCCTCCCCGCTCATTGCCATTGCCTAGTTAATAAGCGGCTTTTGGGCACATTTAATGGGCTTTTAGGGGTTTGGAGTTTTAAAGCTTTAAGCTGCGAGCAGCTCCACGCGCGACTATTTGTTGTTTTTTCTCCTTTTGTCGTGGGCAGCTGCTGGCAATTATATCTGCGAATCGACTGGTTGTCAGGTGTAGACGATGAGCGCCATGAGCGTGGCCCAAAAAATAAATGAAAACTGTCAGAGCAAGGCGCATGTTGCACGCTGCACGGTGCACGCTGCACGGTGCACGCTGCACGGTGCACGCTGCATATGCTTTTCGTCGCTCTTTAAACCACACGCACGCACTCCGGCCACACGTACTCGTATCTTCATACATTTACATTTTCGTATTAACATACATATGAGTGTGCACTCGGAAAATTGTTCTAGGAAATTGAGATTGCAAGAAAATCTGCTTCAAATAGAAATGGAAAAGAAACTTTAAAAAGATACTAGCTTGTTTGTTTAACATATTTATCTTTTATTTTTAAAGTATTTTAATTTTAATTTGTTAGTACTTTAATTTTATTGTACTTGTGAATCTTTTATTGTTATTTCTTCGCATCTATTTCATTTTTGTTTGGTCTAATAACGTCTCTGACTACTCTCTGCTGTGAATCGAGCATAGCTGGCCGTTTGGCAAATAAAGTCTCCCCACCGAGTCAGATTCGATATTAGATATTTTTGTAATTTATATAAGCTTGTTTATTCTTTAGTTTTATTTCGACAGCTTTGTTTGTTGATGAAATAAATATACATAGGAGTATTCGAGTAATAGGAAGTAGTTGTATATATAAAATAATAAAATATAGAACAGTTTATCCTGACTAACTCATTGATTGCCAATCAACGCACAGTTCAAAGAGGAAGAGCTAGGAAGCTGACACTAAGACACTGACACTTTCAGAGTTTGTAGAAATTTGTTTGAAAATTCGAACTCCAAAGGGGGAAATGGGCCTCCAACGTTTGCATAAAATGTCTGCATTTTTCATACGATTACATTTAAATTTGGTTTCTTGTTTACTCTAAGGATGTTTACGTATATTACCGGGGACTGACTTAGAATGGGATTTCTTGAGTCCAGAGAATGTAAAATAAAATAATAAAATGATCATTTCTTAGATGCAGTATACGAATATATGAATATTTAAACAATAGCCTACCACTGAGTGTAATGGATCTGAATGCCATTGTAGAGTAGTCCAGCAAACCAGTCAATTGGAAAAAATAGTACAAAACTAAAACAAAATTGCTGATACTCCGATTTGTGTATAAGCAAACTGAGAAAAGTTCTGCAGAAATGCATATCTCAAGGAGACGATTATCTTAATTACGATTATGTCGTGAGCGAAGTGCTGTTCTTTCTTCTTCTCTTCCTCATCTCTACCATTAGGGGACAACAAAACAGTCTGTTATTCAGTTCTCTGAGGAAAAAACTTTGTACGTCCAATTCTATTGAAGATGTTTTGATTTCTCGCTCTCTTTCTCTACCCAAATTTGTTCTCAGTGTAGCATATGGAGTGACAGCGATAGCAGCGGGCGACCAACGCAATTTACAGTTCGCGGTTCGCGCTTCACCTTAGCCTAGGCGGGCAGACAAAGGGCAGGGTCGCCCAAGTCCCAGTCCCAGTCCTGGGGCAGAGCATTGTGCACTGGGATATTGGACGTTGCTGCGATGCTCTGAGGCTGCGTGATGGAGGAGGCGGGGTGGAAGGGGGGGGGGGGGCTAGAGAAGTGGGCATAACTGGACGGCGAACGCGTGCGTGCGTGCGTTCGTTCGTTCGTTCGGTGCAGAGGCAACATTTGGTAATTTAATCCGATTTACAATAAATTAAATGCGATTTATATGCACACAGCGACACATCCGGAAGATAACAACAACAACAACAACTGCTATAGCAATGACAATGACAACAGCGACAGCAACAGCAACAGCAATGGCAACAGACAATAATTACTTGCTACAACAACAAGAGCAACAATGGGCAGCAACAGATGCCAAACTTTAACATTGGAGCTTTGGTCATTGTTGCTGTTGTTGTTCTGCTGCTGGGCAACAGGAGATAGCGACCATATATGTTGAGGTTGAGGTTGAGGATGTGGGCGTGGGCGTGGCAGCAACAATACGAGAACAATATGTTTGTGTGCGTCATCTGAATGCGAATGCGTGTTGCTTTCGGATATTGTTAAAATAACCGCCACATAGGAAGAGAAAAAAAAAAAACAACAACAACAAAGAAATCACAAATGGGCGAAAAAAATCAGTTACAACAACAACTCTGATTACGACGCTCAGAGTCGGAGACAAGTTCATTACGCATCCCATATTCCATGCATTTGATTCGAATGTTTTTCCTCCATTTCCTCCTCTTCCTGCTTTCCGCCTCGGCCAGACTATCAGACTATGCATTTTCATTTTCATTTCGATTTTGATTCCGATTTCATGTTCATGGCAACGGCTATCGAGCAGCCTTATTTGCCCAACTTCTTCATTTCGTTTGGCACTCGTTTCAAATGTCTATGTCTGCATAAATGATTCACTTGGGCCTGCTTCGACCTTATATCAGTTTCAATGGAAAATGCAAACCTTTCACCAATTCGCATCTCAGATTGAGTCACACACTCGCTCGCACAGGATGCTGACAACGTCGTCAACGACCCAAATACCTAACCCACGTGGCGTGCTGTGAATCATTTGATTTGGCCTGTTGGGCACAAAGAGCTCATTGTTAGCCCAAGTTAATGACAAAGACGATGAGCTAAGTGGGTCGTGGGTGCACGTGGTGGGTCCACGCAGCTGTGCCCTTGATACGATAATAATGAGCTTTCTCTCTCACTCTCACTATCCCTCTCCCTCTCTCCTTCACTCTTACGTAAGAGTGTGAATCATTATGCAGAAATGAGTGCAGTCAATCCATTTTGCGAGTGCGCGAATCTCAGCTCAT